GACATTTATTGCAAAGTAACTTCCTAAAATCCATGCTAAACCTTCCAAGGATGAGTGTAACCAGTTCAACCACTTTTGCCTTTTCACTTGCAAATATCCTTCTTCTGTGATGTGATTAGCAGCATTGGCTCCTTTGTTCTCTGTAAAAGGTAACCACCTACAGTGAACCTATGCATAGTAAATGAGGACCATCATGTAATGGGTGAAGAAACCCAATAAAGGTGGTCATGGCAAGGGCCAAGGCTTTTGCTCCCCTTGAGAGAAAAGCCATGCTGTCCCTTTTCCTCCACCAGACTCGGTAGTCCGTATGGATGTTTCATTTCATCCATAATGACAGGGACACGGCAGGCCAGTGTCTGCATCATAAAATTATAAGAATTTATCCTTCTAACTTCCTAAACACTTTCAAAATTTATGCACATCAAAAAAAGTCCTATGTCTCAAGTTCAAAAAGGGAGCTAAAAAAATTGTTAGTATTTGTTTCTGAAATCTTTTTGGCACAGTATTTGCAATAGAATAAAAACAAAATGACTGCCTCAATACTAGGTGTTTCACACCACATTTTGAATGAATCACTGCTAGCAACACTCATACAATGAGACTCACCATGTCCTTTCAGAAGCCCCATGAAAGGGGAGGTCATGTATTGTGCAGGCAAGCCAAACTTGGTGATGGGTACGGCATATGAGTCCAGCATTCTGTTTCAAAAAATATAAAGTTAGAGCTCCGAGTGACTTAATAGTCCTATTTTGAAATACAAACTTTCAAGGCCAATGCTATAGGATTAGACACTAATCTTCGAGAGAAAACTACTTGTCTCCTGTCAACCAAGACCACACGAGTTGCACCCTCTGCACCCTTCAGTCAAGGGCACATCGTGGGCCCTTGATAAATATTCATTATTCAATGAAGACAAAATAATACCAAATTCTGATGGCTCTGAACATGGATAACAATTAGTAACATTTACTTTCTAAACAAAAAAAAAATCTAACAAAAATTAGAAAAGCATGTATTTTATCTATTTTTTCTCTATTTTGCAAAAGATTTTAAGCAACATGTTTTCCTCTCACGAAGTGGAGAGCTTCAACCAAGTCAGTGGAATCAAAGACCAGATACTATGTAGAAACTTTAGAAAGTGTAAATAAGCAAAAGGAAGAAAATTAAAATTCCCCTTAATTCATCTCTCTAATATTTTAGTGGTAATTGCAAATCCTTAAGTTCTTCTTATCAGCCAAGCACTATTACATTTAATCCTCATAAAAAACCTCTGGGTATTTACTATCATTTTACCCATTTTATAAATGAAGAAACTAAGATGTATGTGGGCTAAGTAGTATACAGTTCAGATTATCTTAGCTAGAAATGGGTGGAGCCAGGATTTGAATCCAGGCAGTGCATAGGACTTCAAGAGCTAAGCTTCTTCTAAGCTAAGAGCTAAAGTATTATTACTTTATACTGACACCATTTGTCATGATTAAAACGTGCAATACATTCCATACCTTTTCTATGTTTATGTATAAACACTTCTTCAGCTTACTCTTACATTTTATAGCATGAAAATCTTTCTTTGTAAATGTACAGAGATGCACATTGTTATTTTGGCCCATTACATACCATTCCATTGTATGGATTTAACATACTGATGGTTTATTTATGAACCTTCTTTTGCTGGACATTGGGGTTATTTCCATTTTTGTTATTTACACACACAGATAAAAGTTTTTGAGTACTTATATTTGTGTGCCTGTCCAATTATTTCCTTGTTATAAATGCCTAGAAATGAAATTACTAATTCACATGTTATATAAAAGAAATTTTTAGGATTTTAATACATTCTGCCCATCAAAGTATAGGTTCTGTGAGGAAAGAGAGTGTAATCATCCTGTACAGAGTTTCACATTAGGCCCATAGTAGGCACTCAATAAATAGTAAATAAATGACTGACATAAGATCCATGAGTGTAGTTGTCATTCATATGGTCATGCCCACTCAGGTAGCCAAAGAACTGAGGTGTCCCAAATATAATTAAGTCGTATTGTCATGGGAAAATATGAGATGCTTAATAAGTATTCAGGCAGTTTTGCACAACTCCATCTGAAATTCTGGAAATTATTTGTATGCTAGCAAGAACTGGGTGAACATAAACTAATCAGTCAGTTTGCTTTGCTTTCTTCCATCTGATCCGTGGTTAAATATTATGTAAATCTCAAAATCAGAACTATGAATTGCATTTTTAAAAATGACTCCCTATTAATGAAAGGTTTTAATAGAAGTAGACCACAATATATCTACTTAAGCAAAATGTTTTACAAACATTAAGGTGAAATGACCCATCTTCATCTGTTATTAAACTGATTAGAATAATCTAAATACAAATTGCTGTGTAACACATAGGAAACTCCCACTGATCACAAAACTAGGGGAAGAAATATAATTCCGCCTGTCAGAATTACAGAATCTATTTAGAGAAGTGCAGTTTTCATACCTCCCAATGCACCAAATATCAACTAAAAAATCTGCTCTAATAAATGAGTGAATGATAAATGAATTTCCTTGATGGAAAATCGATATTTATCATGAATTCCCATTTATCATTATTGTAATAAAAAGAGTATGTTAAGGTATGATCATTAATCTTTGAAGTTAAAATTCAAAGGTACATCAAAGAATTTCACTTCCTTGAGCTTAAATTTGAAAAGCAGAAATATTCAATTTTGTTTTTCCTCTGCAAGTCAAACACAGACATATTTGGGAAAAAGTATTCACAGGTCACATTTTGGTGACTCAAGATGAATATTCACAATATATAAGCTTATAATTTTGACAGGAATTATATTAAACAATGTTAGCATATTTTGTTTTGAGAATGCTTTTTCTCTCACTAATATAATGTAACTAAATATTTCTTTAATTATGTATATAAATGGGTTGTTTTAAAAAAGGTGTATTGCTTACATTTCTTAATAACTATACAAGTGCTTGCTTCAATGACTAATAAAAAGATGTCATTTTCCAAAAAAAAAGAAAGAAAATATTTATATGATTCTATCTTATTTCTTCATTTAGTATCCAAAGAAATTCCTTTCATGGATCAATATTTTTATGGCTTACCTTAAAATGTTGTGCCACATTAAAAATCAGTAAAAATGAGCATCTTCAGGGGAATTGTAAGTAGTCTATGTACAACTTCACTGATAGGAGTCTATTTGTCTTGAACAGACACCTTTTGAGTATCACAAAAAGCTGATCAATCGATATTAACTAATCCTAGATCCTATCTCTGCACTGTTACAATCCCACCTGACTTCCTGACTGTGGTTTATATCCTCATTGCCAAGTTTTCTTTTCTAGATCATGTGGTGTAGTAGATTTCAATAAAAAGTTCGGTGTGATAACATTTTATTTGTCTCATTAAACACAGGGTTTTTAAAAGCCTGAGTCATCTTGTCCTAAAACAATTATTTGCCTTTTCTTCTGTGTTCCCAGCACACTGCTAATATTGATAAAAGGAAGCTAACTGCTAAGGTGGGAAACCAGCCACTGCCATGAGCTAGCTGTGAAGACAAGGCAGCCTGGCTGGATTCAAGTTCAGGTTTTATGTGCCCCAGCCTGTCAAAGGGTGTTGCTCTTCCTCATTAAGCAAGACATATTTTCATTTTTTAAAAAAATGAGACACAAGGGTGTAGAGAGACCTTTATCTTCTGGCAGTTGCAGAAAACAATATTTGGTAAATATTGAACATGATCAGATTATTAATAAGTAATACATGTCTTCTTGTCCCTAAGTCATTATTATTCTTCCTTGGATTACTGGCCCGATCTAAATATACTGAAAACTGCAGGTTTTCAAATTAGTTAATGTTTCTAGTTATTAAAATCTCATTTGAAATTCTAAACTATTTGGTTAAATTGCTGTATTAACTACTCTTTTAACAGCTACCACTCTGCTAAATCAATCTGGACCTTGGGTTAAAATAAGTAAAGGCAGAAAGGAAACTTTTATAAACCAGTAACTTCCCAATACAATCATTTCTTTTTTTTTCACAATTAATATCTTATCATGGAAAAAACCAGACCCTCAGTATTAAAGCTCTACATATATTCCACTCTTCCAAACTTGAGTATGTTATTATACTTAAGCCAAGAAGATGGATACTTCTGAGCAAGAATCTTCTGGTGTTAAGCACATTTTTGTAGAGCAAATATTGGAAGATCAATGACATTCTGTGTAGCCATGGCAACATTTTCTCAAATTTCCCTTATTTATAATTGTGCCAATTACCTCAAATTTATGACCATAATAAGGAATCGATGTAAAATGAGGGTCTGAAATAAACAACACTTTAACAGGGTAGTATTTATATTCCACAAGTATATGTATTCTTACAAAATGTGCCACAGGGCTTTGAGAGGGTCTGCCTGTAGCTTTAGGGCCGACGATCATACACCGAATTATAAAATCATCTCGAAGAGGATGATGGCATTTAGTGGAATAATTCGGCAAAGTAACTGACCCATCTCCCCCCACCTTCAGAAAGTGGAATGCTCAAAATGCCTGCCTCCTAACTGTGCTTTGTAAGGTTGGCCTCACCTTCTGTTAGAAAGAGAGTAACTTTGAATTATTAAATTAAAAAAGAAAAATTATAACTTAACTCTGCTCCATAATTGCTGCAGATGAGTTACTAAAATCCCAAACTTATGTAATATTATCATAAAATATGGCATTTTTCTCAAGAAAGCCACAAATTGGATTGGCGCTTATGCACTATAAAACCCAGATGGTTTGCTTAACTACTCGCACATCCTCCAGTTCAAAAGTTAATTGAACTGAAAACTAAAATTTTGATAATTGATATTGCTCTGAGGGACTCAAGCAGAAGGATAAATTAGCCTCATGCATGGGGTGTTAATAGACTTGAGAACCAAAAGAATCAGTCATGAAATACTGGCAGAATGGAAGGAAAGTAATTTCCTATAGATCAGCCTAGCACACATTACCTGGACTTCCCATGATACCGCTGCTTTTCCTTCTCCATTTTCTTACCCACTGATTCAATATTAGTCACTATTTTACACAGCTTCACTTGTTCTGGAATTTAAAAAAAAAAGCTTTAATTGTATACTATTAGTTTTCACGTTATAAGGGCATTTTTCAAATTAAATTGCAAATCACAGATTTTTTAATAACAGGTACTACAATATTTTTCAAAAAAATTACTAACACAGAGGCACTCTAAAAACACATTTGAGTGTGTTTTTTTCACCCCATGCTCCTCAGATGTTTTGCAATTACTAAAATTTAGCACTGAAAGTATGGAGTAAATGAACTACATCGATCAAGGAGGAGAGAGCTCCCCGAGAAATGTCGGCAACAGCACAGCACATCCCAATGGATACGAATGGCCTCGTTTACACATATCAGCGTTATTATCCTCGCAATCATCAGAAGGCTCAGTGTTTACAGGCGAGCCTGCTATTTTAAAATAATTTGGCAATCATTAGTTAATATACATAGGAACACTGAGGGCTCCAAGAAGCCTCATCCATTTGATCGGAAGACTGAAGTCCAGAAAAGGCAAAGTTTCTGCTTAAAAAAATAAAAAACTAGTTCTTAGAGTCAAAGTGAAAATCACACAAATATTTTTAAAATACCCATTGCTTTTTAATTTGTACTGGCAATGGGACTAACATATAGTTTGAAACATTACAACAAAATATTGTCATACACTAAGTACCTTCTAGCTACTAGCTCAGATCTATCAAAGATATATTAAAAATGGGACAAAACCCTCTGTTTTAGAATTATTTACAAACTAGGGGTGTCTCAACACTAACAGACAGAAAAGCACAGTTGACCAGATTATGCAAATTACATTGAAAACTTGTAACATAGAATATTGAAATTTTTGAGAAACGAAGAACGGAATGTTAACATTTGTTGATGCTGTAAAATACCAGGGGTATTAGTTAGCATTCCCTATGCATTATGCTACACTTATGCCTCAAGGCTCTTTGTTTGTTTGGTACAGTTCTGTGGCTACTCCCTTTCATACACAAAGAAAGCAGATTACCCACGATATTGTAAGTCAAAAAGTGCAGAGCCAAGAAATGAACCTGTATCCTTCTGACTGTAGGTTCACCCTTCATCACTCTGTTCTGTTGCCCCCAGACTCATGGAGCCTCAGGTACCTCATTAGGGAAAGCAGGCAATTTCTGCCTTGCTTACTTTGAAGGGTAACTGTAGTGCTCAAAAGACACACTTTATGTAAAGACACATGATAAATTGAGAAATATATTCAGGTGAATTACAGAAAGAATGCATAAGTTTGAGTCTTAAAAACAGAGACATTTGAAAATATTTGCTACAAGCTAAGTGTGTTAATTGCTATATATAGATTATCCTATTTTATTTCTCATAACCACCCCATCAATTAGGTACTAGTTTTATCTCCATTTTACAGATGAGGACACTTGAGCAAAAAAAAAAAAAATAGAAGTTGACTTTCCCGAGTTATATAACTAGCCAGTAGATAGAGTCAATATTCAAACCCAGGCCTTGGAGCCTGCATCCTTAATCACAGTGACACCCAATATACATATTTGTTTGTTTCTTTACTTAAGAAATATCTACTTAGTGAAAATAGTGACGCTAACTCCTACAGAGGGGAGATGTAGGATATAGCACATGAATTCCTGTTTTACTCAGTGTGTTATAACCTACTTCCAACTTTGTTCTTTCTGATGATCATGCTGCTAAAACCAGCCAGTCACCCCTGTGCCATTTTGTCATATCTCCATCAGCTTTTGAGCACGCCTTCCTTTCTGCCACAATAACGGTTCCAGGCTCACTTTGTCCTTTCTCTGTTCCAGATCTGCAGGTCTCTAAGAGGCAGTGGTCACTGTCTCTTCTAAAATTACCTTGCTTTTCCTGGCTGGTGAGGCTCAGTTCGTTGGAGCACTGTCCAGTAGACCAAAAGGTTGCCGGTTCAATTCTCAGTCAGGGTATATTCCTAGGTTATGCATTTAGTTCTCAACTGGGGCCCATGCTGAAGGCAACGGATTAATGTTTCTCTTATATCAATGTTTCTCTCTCCCTTCTCTCTCTCCCCAAAATCAATAAATCTATATTTTAATTAAAATTGCCTTGCTCTCTATTCTCTCGTATTTCCTAATCAGAAAATTCTGTCCAGATGCATGTTAAAAATTCTCAGTATGCTCTCCAGAGCTCTTAAACTTTGATATTTTCCCTGTCTTTGTGCTTATTTTATAAATTTCTTAAGATGCCTTCTCTAGTTTGATATTTCTATCTTCAGCTTCATTAAATTCATATTTAAAACTTACTAAATGTCTTATTTAAATTATTATATATTTATTTCTAGAAGTTCCTTTGGTTCTTCATCAAATCTTCCCGAACATTTTTATAGTCTCTAGCTCATTTTTATACTTTACTTTTTAAACATATTAAACATACTTATTTCTATTCTATATCAGAAAATTCTAATGTCTATGGTCTTTGTAAACCTAATTTCATTTTAGGGAAGCTGAAGGGCTAGGTCTCTCACTCCCAGTGGCCAATTTCTTTCTGATATTTTAAAATTGTAAACTCATATTTCATAGGAATGGAAATTATTTGCAAGCTGGGATTAAGATCCATTCCTCAAGAAATAATTTATTTTTCCTCCAGGCAGTTGAGAAAAGTTTCAACTCGTAATAACATTAAACAAATTTCTCACTTAGGGATTTTTGAGATTCCAGTATAATATCGATTCTGATTCAATAAATTATATGTGGAAACTTCTCTCGGAGCCAAAGCTAAGACATTCAAATTTCTTTGCTATTTCCTTCTTACAAAGCAGGACTTTTTATTTTCCTGGTTTAGCCTTTCATTGATGCCATCCCCTTTGGGAGACACTCAAGTGTGAGGAGTCTCTGCACTGACTCCCCACCTTGCATGTTGCATGACTGTTAATTCTGTGCGTTGCTCATGCAATGAAAATGGAAGGTCATTGGCCACCAGATATGTGCAGAAACTGCCAGCCACAGAAGCTGGGCTCTGTCCTAAATCTTTTGTTGTTCTTCTTCTCTTCTTCCATTGTGGATTTTCAGGTGCTCTATAAAAATGTGTGGAATGAAGAAATGCCTTCAATACTTTCTCCCATTTTGTTAGCCAAGCACATTTCTAGACTCAACTCAGGACACACTCTTTGGTCTAAACATTGAAATAATTCACAATACTCATCATAATATCTAATACATTCATCAAGCATTTTTATACAAATCAACAAATAAAATATTTAACTCTTCTTATTCAGCTACACAAAATTGCTAATATCATGACTTACTAGAAGTTTGCCATTCCTCCTTCAACTGACCCCCATCTCTGCCTCAACCATCCTAACAAATCCTTTTATGTTCTCCTTTCAAAAAAAAAAATAAAGCTCAAACTCAGGAGGTTAAAGGCAGCCAATCTTAAATACAATAGTTAAACTGGACCAAGTTAAGTTATAGGGACTAGTTTTCTAGAATTTAGAGGGTTTTTAAAATATAGTTGGCATATAATATTATATTAGTTTCCAATGTACAACATAGCGATTTGACAGTCATATACTTTACAATGTGATCATTGCACTAATAACCATCTGCCACTGTACAAACTTATCTCAATACTATTGACCACATTCACCTTCGCCTTTTTCACCCGTCCCCTCCCCCGTCCCCTGTGGCGACCCCCAGTTCTCTCTCCTTTTCTATCAGCCTGTTTTTGTTTTGTTTTGTTTGTTTTGTTTTTATAGATTCCACACGTACATGAAGCCATATGGTATTTGTCTTTCTCTGTCTGACTTATTTCACTTAGGACCTAGAGAATATTACACTAAGTAGAATTTAGAGTTTTAATAATTCAGAAAATGGATATCATAAAATGGAGTGTATTCCCTGTTATAGGTGTCTTTTGGCAGAGATTTGATAAGAACTTTCTGGAGAACATTATAGGGGGGATTTTATACCATAAAAATTGTTGGGCCTAATGAGCTTCAAGTTCTCTTGTACACAGATACTTAATAATACCACAAAAGTGCCTCACATGGACTAAATCCAGTCCCTTTACCGTCAAAAATGAGATTTGTAGGTTTTGTATACTGAAGGGATTATAAAATACTTTTCTCGCCTTTCCCCCTTTTTTAAACCTGCTACTTAAATTGCACTTAATTTCATATGAAGTAGTTATAGCAAAATTAAAACTTAGTATTTCAAATTTATAGACAGATTAATTAGTCGAGAATGACAGATTGCAATTTACTGACATTTCACATTCTAGTGTGGGCTGGGTGGATGTCGCATGATTTTCTAGGTTGGAATTTCCAGCACATATGTGTTAATATGGGATGCCAATTCCTCACTAGACTGTGAACTCTTTCGTGGTCTCTTCAGGACAAGGATTGCATTTTTATCCATCATCCATTTATTCAATCACTTATTCAACAAACATTTACTGAATGCCTGTAATGTGATGGGAGTCTGCTAGGCACCAGGCATATGAGAAATAACCTGGGGGTTGTGAAGGCTGTACTCTGGGAAATAAAATTAACCAAATGACAACATAATTACACAAATAATGGAGTAATTTCAATTGTAGTGCTATGAAAATTTATTTCCACTGTCTCAAATTTAAGACAAGGAATGAAAGGTACCCTTTAGCTTTTCTAATTGAGAGATTATTGCTGGAAAACATAATGGGAAGATGGGGATGAAGGCGAAATTTCACTGGTTTGAAGGAATAAAGTGTTTGGAGGTAAAAAATGCATTCTCTCTTTTCAAGAGGTGTGGTTTAAAGGGAAGAAGAGAGATGAAATGGTCACCATCGGGACATATGTTTGAGAACAAAATGTTTTGGTATGAGTATGTTTTAAGATGGAAAGCCCTTAGAATTCTTATATAGTATAAAAAGGGAGAAGCTGAAAATGTACGGGGCGGGGAGCAAATAACATGCAGCAAGTGAGATAGGTTCCTGGCAGAGAAGGGAAGGGTTGGAATAAAATTGAGCCATGATCTAGAGAAAAGAGGCATTTTCTTCCAAAAGAGGAAAGTAGA